TCATCAGCAATCAAAGGTCAGCTAAACTACTGTACATTGCTTGAATAACATCTTTGACCTCAAGCAGGGTGGACATTTAATTTCTACTTTCGTGATAAGGAGATTTTGGGACTTAAGTTATTCGTGAAAGTCTGGGCTACATTGTGTAAATTCTTGCTGTGTTATAGTGTGTGGGATGACAACATTACCACACCTTGAATTGAAGGAATATCTGTGTGTTGTGACTGGGATGATGTTGACAGTGTGCATATGGGTAAAGTTGTTGATCTTTTCTGCATCTTTTATGCTGAAAATATACATGATATGCTTTAACCCTTTGAGGGTTTTGACCGTACTAGTACGGCTTATGCACCAGGGTTTTTGACGTACTAGTATGCCTAAATTCTAGCGCCCTCAAATCTAGTGAAAGCTGGTAGGCCTACATATGAAAGAATGGGTCTATGTGGTCAGTGTGCGTGGTATAAAAAAAATCCTGCAGCACACAGTGCGTAATGAGAAAAAAAAACTGACCGTGTTTTTGGATTAAAACCGACTTTGCACTGTATTTTCATATGGTATTTATTGTTGTATTCTAGTTTTCCTGGTCTCATTTTATAGAATGGAAGACATATTACAGAAATTGAGATGATTTTGACTGGTTTTACAAAGAAAACTACCTTGAAATTGCACTCAAAGTAGCAGAAATGTTTGATTTTTACCAAAGTTCAAAAGTAAACAAATCATGCTATGCGTCCAATGCACGTCAACTGGTGAGTCTAATATTCTTTCACAAGTGCACTGATAATATTTATACCATTTCTACACTAATGCAGTAGTCTGCCTAACAGTAAATCTTCTATTTTTTGTGAGAATAAAAATTCAAAAGTGGAAAGCAAAGAATGTAAGAGGGGCATGGCATGGGGATGTGACTAATAAACAGAGGAAATGTTATTTTAGTGCCAGGAATGTCTTTCTTGTTTATTCTGGACCCTATTCAGAAATTGGCATCTTTTGAAATTTGTGTGAAATTGGCAAAATTGCTAAATTCTGACCACTGTATTGGATAGTTGAAATCGGTAAATGGGTGGTTTCTTGTACTCATTCGATAGAAAAAATGGAGTTCTAGCGAAATAGTTATGATTTTTGTCGACAAGCACACTGGAATTGGCCGAAAATAGGGCTCAAAGTGGGTAAAATCGCCGATGCGTAAAGATCGTCGAGACCGCTAACTTTATGAGAGCATAATTCCGTAAGTTTTCCATCAAATTTCATACTTTTGGTGTCATTATGATTGGGAAAAGATTCTCTATCTTTTCATAAGATTTTTTTTTTTTTTTTTTAAATTTGGCCGACCCTGAGAACAAGTCTCTGAGAGGGCCTGTCGACCCTGAAAGGGTTAATGCATGGGAGGATTTGTCTTTATTCTATTTTTTTTTATTAACACATTGGCCGATTCCCACCAAGGTAGGGTGGCTTGAAAAAGAAAAACTTTCATCATCATTCACTCCATCACTGTCTTGCCAGAGGGGTGCTTTACATTACAGTTATAAAACTGCAACATTAACCCTTTCAGGGTCGAGATGCCCTCTCCTAAACTTGTTTTCAGGGTCGAAAATTTTTCGGGAAAAAAATTATTTTTTCTTATGAAAAGATAGAGAATCTTTTCCTGATCATAATGACACCAAAAGTATGAAAGTTAATGGAAAACTTAGGGAATTATGCTCTTGCGAAGTTAGCGGTCTTGACGATGTTTACGCATCGGCGATTTTGCCCACTTTGAGCCCTATTTTCGGCCAATTCCAGTGTACTAGTCGACAAAAATCCTAACTATTTCGCTAGAACTCCATTGTTTCTATCAAAGAAACCACCCATTTACTGACTTCAACTGTCCAATAAAGTGGTCAGAAACTAGCAATTTTGCCAATTTCACACAAATTTAAAAAGATGCCAATTTCCAAATAGGGTCCAGAATAAACAAGACAGACATTCCTGGCACTAAAGTAACATTTCCTCTGTTCATTAGTCACATCCCTAGGCCCCTCTTACATTTCTTTTGCTTTCCACTTTGAATTTTTATTCTCACAAAAAATAGATGATTTATTGTTATGTACACTACTGCATTAGTGTAGAAATGGTATAAATCATATCAGCGCACTTGCAAAAGAATATTAGATTTACCAGTTGATGTGTATTGGACGCGTGGCATGATTTGTTTACTTTTGAACTTTGGCAAAAATCAAACATTTCTGCTACTTTGAGCTCAATTTCTAGGTACTTTTCATTGTGAAACCAATCAAAATCATCTCAATTTCTGTAATATGTCTTCCATTCTATAAAATGAGACCAGGAAAACTAGAATACGACCATAAATACCATACGAAAATAGAGTGCAAAGTCGGTTTTAAACCAAAATCACGGTCAAAGTTTTTTTTTTTCTCATTACACACTGTGTGCTGCAGGATTTTTTTTATACTGCACACACTGACCACATTCCATACCACTGACCCATTTTTTCATATGTAGGCCTACCAGCTTTTTCTTGCTAGATTTGAAGGCGCTAGAATTTAGGCGTACTAGTACGTCAATAACCCTGGTGCGTAAGCCGTACTAGTACGTCGGAAACCCTGAAAGGGTTAACACCCCTCCTTCAGAATGCAAACACTGTACTTCCCATCTCCAGGACTCAAGTCCGGCCTGCCGGTTTCCCTGAATCCCTTCACAAATATTACTTTGCTCACACTCCAACAGCACGTCAAGTATTAAACACCATTTGTCACCATTTACTCCTATCAACTACACTCATGCACGCTTGGTGGAAGTCCAAGCCCCTCGCACACAAAACCTCCTTTACCCCCTCCCTCCACCCCTTTCTAGGCTGACCCCTACCCCACCTTCCCTCCACTACAGATTTATACAGGATTTGTCTTATCCAACATATCTCACGAGAGCTTTGCCAGTGCCATGGTCTGTAAGGTAATTCATATGTGTTGTCGGTTGTAGGGAAAAGAATTTCTTCAAAGATTGTCTTTGAAATACATTGTCTAGAGAAAGAAGGTTCCAGGTGGCATGTTTCTTAGGATATGAGCGAGATGCATCACTTATGTCAGGATTGTCTATTATGTGTTGAGGTCATTCAGATGATGGCTTTAAGTTATTGTTTTGTGATGCATTGTAGGAAAAGCCAGGAGCATAGTAAAGTAGAATGAAGGCCAAAAGTATACAAGGGGTCTAGGTGAGCATTGGTATAAGTACCATCAGAACCTGGTGCTGAAAGTGATACTGGGTTCTGAGGAAGGTACATAGGCATGCTAGTTTCAGGTAAGGGCAAGGGCACCATAGGGATCAGGGTCCCAGGAAGATGGCAAAGTGTGAATATGCCAATTCATGATTGATTGTATAAAAAAGATCATATGCCTACTGGTATAGAGAAACCTCCATTTAGGGGAAAATTTCTTCAATAAAATTGGCAAATTAACACCTGCAAAGCTCACAGTCAATAAAAAAAAATTCTAAATGAGATACATCAGCATTTAGTTTGAAGCCTCTCTGAAGAGGCATTTTCTAGTTGTTGTGTGGAAGTTAATTTACTAAATAAAACTGAGACATTAAACCTAGAGAGAGAATGAGGGGTGAAAACCTGAATGCTGATAAAAAGACATTGTGGCAGAATAGAAATCTATATTAAGATGTTTCACTTGGAGACCAAGCAAAACATCTTGGTAAAGATTTCATTTTGCCATAATGTATGTTTAAACCTTACACAGCCAAAATCAACACAAGCCTTCCTTTAAGCAAAGCCTGTAATTGCTAAAAACAATGAAGCCAATCAGAAAAAGCATTCTTTAGTTATTGATCAGAAATTTATTCCAAGTTTATTAACTGTGTTAATGAACTGGTAAATTTGCATCTATGAAGACTAAACTTATGGGTACTACTATCCTCTTCATAAGATGCATCAGCATTAAAGATTGGAGCTGGTTTGAAGACATATTCAGGTTATTTCATGGAATATATATTTTTAAAAAACAAAAATATCACTTGCATATACATTCTAATATTATTCCCATAATCAACAGTCCCACTCATTTTTCAGATTTAATGGACAATCAACAATATTGGGCATCCTCTCCCATTAGCTCATTCAATCAAGGTTTTACAGTATTACCTATTGCTAAACATTTCTTAACATTATTCAATTAACTGTCTTTTAACTCTGGCATTTCCAACTTTTCTACTATGCCTTCTACAACAGTCTCTCCTGCTTTAGCAGTAAGGCCTCCTAAAACAATTACTCTCTTGCTTCTTTCAAGCCTTCCAAAATATTTGCTTAATATCTTTATGCACTATTAGGTGCATAAACATTTATTATAACTCAATTTATTCTAATCCATGGAATTCCTGAATTTTAATATTTATACCCTCTTCTTTCCATAATTGCTCATTTAATATTACTGCTGCTACTCCATTATATCTCATTCTTGGACACGCCTAAACTGACTGTTTACTACTACCCATTTAAATTCACCCACCCCCTTTTAGTTATGTTTCACCTGGTGTTAAGACTATCAGTTTCCTTTCATTCATAGCACTATAATAATTTCTTAATATCCATACTACATCCACAAAATTACATTCAGTACTTTCATGATAGGAGTCATACAGCACCTGGGAAAATGGCAGGCGATCAAGTTTGATTCAAGGAGGGGAGGTAAAGTTCAACCTTCACTGAGGGGATAAAATAAATAAAAAAAAAAAAATCAGACTTCAGAAAAAAACTGGTTATTAGAATTACCTTGGCTCCCAGCATTTAAGTTGTCTTCCATGCCAAGCATGGCTCATGGAAGGACTATAGCCCATGGACTTTAAGAAAACACTACAGAGATAGAACTACTGAATTAAAAAATATAGAGAAACAAAGACAAATGTATATATGTACAGTCATAAACACATTTATATACTGTATAATGGGTTTACATTTCACATTCATACAGTATTACGGAGATTGTTATTATATTTAAGGGTAAGGCTTCAACCCATAGGGATTATGCAGTGTCTAGGAAGGGAAGGCAGTCAGGTTCAATCCAAGGAAAAGGAGGTCAGGTTTAATTTGTGAGTCAAAATTCTCCCACCAGCATCAAGGAATCTCCCTTGGAGATAGCATGACAGGTGAATAGTACTTTCCTGGGTACTACCTACACTATACCTAATATTATACTAAAATCTTTCTGCAAATTTTTCATTGCATCATTATAACATTTACTGCATTATTCTATTCCCTCCTTCTCCCCTCAAGGAAGGTGCCTTGATGCTGGTGAGGGGCTCTTGATCCAAGGTACCAGACTTAGCCTCCCCTTCCTTCCTTGGATAGAACCTGAATGCTTCCATTTCCCAGGCACTATATGACACAATGGATTCAGTGCTTTCCACTGATTGAAATATACAAGTATTCCATTTTCCTTTTCTAAGATGAAAAAATAAAAAATGGATCAGTTTTAGTTTATATTAAATCTTCATTGATACAATAAAAAAATATAAGTATTAACATCTCTTTTTAACATTATCTACAAACATATACAAATGTACAATAAATAATGCTCAAATATTTATATAAATATACATTAAATACAATATCACATCAGTTGTCATGTAAACATTTACAGTAAATCTGATACAAAGAAAAATTCAATAACTAGAACACTCATACACAAATGCATTAATATGCTAAACAGTGTGGAAAGAAAGCATGCAGAGCCCTACTGTGGTACTGTATAGAGCTTAATATGCTTTCTCAATTATAAACAACATTCCATGCACTGTAGAAACAATAAAACTTCATAACCTGAAGCTTAAATTTTTCAATTTTATTGAAAATATCTAACGAGCTTAAAATTTTTTAACTAGGGAAAAACAAAAAAAAAATAACTGGGATGAATGATTCAGTAGTTATAGGCCATATTTATCATGCTGAAAGGTAGAATTTCCTTTCATAGTTTATCAAGCCACAAAATATGTGCAAACAATTAAGGGCAATTGTTAAGTAAACATTAAAAAAATAATACTATTGATAAGAAAATTTACACTTAAATAACTGAAAGCAAATTATATATTAATTCACATTTGGATGCACTGTAATTGTAAAATTACAATTTATGAAATTTATTTATCATACTTTTACTTGTTCTGTAAAACTCAAATTGTGATTATTCTTTCAATTTAAATTATAATTACAATTATAATATGATTTCAAAACTCAATAATAAATTTTCCAAATTAACCCCATTTTGTCTGAATTGTCATTTAACCCATTATACTTTTCTTTTATTATTTAAGATGGGATACCATGACCAGAAATCTGGCTTCTGTAGCTACAAATAGATAATTACTGTTTTGAAACAACTTGTGCAATTTCCATGAAAAGTAAATTATCTCCTTCATCCAGAGGGTGTCTAAAATTTAGAGTTGAGTCTAAGTTATAATAGTGCCAGAAGGACCAGTACCCTCAGCAATGATAAAAGACCCATCAGCTAGAGTATGAGCATGAGCAACTAATGTAGCTGCCATAGCCTGTTCTTCTGCTGCTTCTTGCTGCTGTTCTGCAGACGGGCCCCCAAGTTGTATCTTGTGCTTGCGCCACATGTGAGCTTTCAGGTTACCTTTAGTTTCTGATGCATACTCACAACGAGTGCAAGGGAATGGCTTCTCTCCAGTATGAATTCGAAGATGTACATTTAGAGTTTCTTTCCGTTTAAAACTCTTTGAGCAAAAGTCACACTGAAACTGCGGTCTAGTTTCGTGAACCATGCTGACGTGTTTTTTAAGGGCCATGGCACCCCTCATAACTTTGCCACATATCTGACAAGCAACTTCTAATTTGCGATCCTCATGTTGTCGTTCATGCATGTTGAGCTTCCATTTTTTGCTAAATGTTTCACCACAGTGACTGCATATGAAAAGCCCCCCTACATCTCCTTCTTGTATGTCATGTAAACTATATTTGTGCCTTGCTAATGACTTTGAATTTGACATCTGTTTATTACACATTTCACAAATGAGGTTCCGCTTAATACACTGGCGATCAGGGCAAACAGGATTATCGGGACTAATTGGTAGTGTCAAATCTTCACCTTTGCATTCTTTCTTGCGGCAGAAGTTGCAACCTTTAGCTAAGAAGACAGCAAGGCTAAGAGGAAGTATTCCCCGATCTTCTACTTGATCCACCATTATGTGCATGATTAATTCCTCGTGGAATGAAGGATTTACATATAGTTCAAGATCAGATACTGCTCTCCGTTTCAAATCTGTACTTACTTGCTGAAAACAAGCTCGTGTAAGAGCACTTCCAGGACTTGACAAAAGTTCATCTCCATTACCTGCCATTCTGTTCACAAGATCATCAAGATCCTGTGGTGTAGAGGAATCATCAGGCAAAACATCTCCTTCAAGTAATGGAGGCATTAGAGTGTCCTTACTGCTAGATCCTGTACCTCCACTACCTGCAACTGATCTTCCCACCACTTTTCTTCCCATTCGAATCCGATAACGATACATTGCTATCATATGAACATATTTAGAAATGTGTTGTGGATCAATCTGATGATAATTAATTATCTGCATATCTCCTACTGTTATAGTTTCTACCTCTTGAACTACTGGGTCACCTATTGATGCCTTATTATATGCCTCATCTATTAAAGGATTTCCAGTATGAGTGACTAATATCTCCACATTAAATCCACTACCTTCATTGTCTGTACATCCTTGTTGATGCATCAAGTTGTTTTTCTCAAGGACTTCATTCATCACTTCTGAGAAGAATTTTGTAAGTTCATTCTGATCAAAAAGTTTGGTGAGCAAAATATCTGCATGCCAAAGGGTTATTATATGCTGTGAGGTTCTAGCAATTTGAAGTGTTGAAGCAGAAGGGTCAAACAGTTCCTCAATCTTTCCCAGAAATGGTGTAAGTGCACTGTCTACAATTTTCTGAACTGATACCTGCAAAGAAAGATTAAGAATGTTTAAAACTTTGTTTCTTAACACAGGCTTTTTAATTTTTAAGCCAAAATTTTTAATTACAGCTTACTATTTTTTCATTTTTAATAACCTCTGCTATTACAAACCACCACTCAATTTTCTTATTTTAGATTAATTTATCATTATACAGTACAGCCTCTCCTCACTTAACGGCGGAGTTCCGTTCCTCAGACCATGTCGTTAAACAAATTCGTCGCTAAGTGAGGAGCATACTATAATAGTAGTGGGTTTGTGTCAGCCATCTTTGATATTGTTTTAATGTCACCTTTGCACCATTTATAACATTTCTGGTATATTTTTAAATGTTTATACAGTAGTGTACTGTATACTGAAATAAAAGGAATAGAGGAAATCAGCTTTAATATACATTATTTAGGTATAAATACTGGTCAGAGAGCCCGTTGTAAGTCCGAGGCATCGGTAAATAAGTACGTTGCTAAGTGAGGAGAGGCTGTATTTGTATGCACTGGATTTATAAGTTTATTTTTCATTCACATCATACTTCTTGAGTAATAATGTCATATTTGTGATCTTCCCTAGTTTTTTTTTTTTCAAGTGTTGACAAATTTTGAAGGAACAATTTAAATGTTTGCCAAAGAAATGCACATACAGCGGAACCTCTGCTTACGAGTGCCCCAACATGCGAGTTTTCAGGATACGAGCCATTGCTCGGTCGATTTTTTGCTCCTGCATACAAGCCAAAATTCAGGTTGCAAGCTTCCCCCTCAAGGGAGGTTCCATGACACTCCAGTTCCCTAAATTAATAATAATAATAATAATAATAATAATAATAATACTAATACTAATATAATAATAATAATAATAAGCAAGTTTCAGAACATCGCCACTAGATGTTGCAGGGAGCGCCACAACATCAGTTGAGCAGTGCAATGTGTTTATGTCAGTGTGGAAGCATTTCTTGTGTTATTATTGCCAAATTTCTTTTTTCTAACCATGGGTCCTAAGAAAGTAAGTGCAAAGGACAGTGCTGAGAAGAAAAAGAGGATGATGTCCGTGGAATTACAGCATGAAATCAGAGATAAACAAGCGAGGTGTGTGGTGGGAGTAGGAGCTAGTAGCAAGTAGCCTATCTTCCACTCTCCACCTCTGCCAGCGTATGTACACTTTATAAAACCACTTTGTTTCTTTTCATTCTCTATTATGTTTTTATACAATATTTCTTATTTATTAAACTTATTTATAAAACTAGTGCAGTTAGCCTCACAAACACTCCATTTTCTCTTGTAATAAAAGCATGGGAAGATATAGTCAGCAGGAGAGGGAATGGGTGCCGCCACCACCGCCACCACTCGCCATATTACGGCCTGAGCAGCGGCAGCAGCAACCTCCAAGCTCCGTACTTTTCTCCAACTATCAGAGCCACCAATGCTCCTATGATGACCTAGTTACAAGCAAAACTGAACTACCCAACGTAGCACCCAGAATGACCAAAGATTACCAACAGTGAAACCAAAAAACGAAAAATTAGAGATCAAAGGAAGACTGCCCACAAACCGAAAGCAACACCCCGCTGCCAGCCGAACAACGTAACCCCAAGCTTTGTATAACTAATTCTTCTTAACTACAACAATTCCTGAGTAATGGGGGCAATCTGGGAAAAACAGCCCCAAGGCCAGCAAGAAAACACCGAAAAATAAATATTCAACAAGTGACCCAGGAGGACGCCGGCCCAGAAAACCACCCACTCACCCCCCGCTCAAGGCGACACCACAACAAAAAACAAAAATTTTGGCTCCCCCCACCCCATCCCCCCCTCCTTCCCGGTTTCAACCTCCCAATATCTCTCAGGTGACCAACGATCCAGATCCCCAAAACTGCATCCCCACCTTTTATTGAAAATTAATCTTCGAGAGACCTAACAAAACAAACCCCGGATGACACAACCGGAACAAAACCCTCAGTCTTGAAACAAAAGTTATCCCCCCCAGAAATGACTAATTTTGACAAGACCACCCAAAAACAGTCAAGTAGCCATACCCAACAAATAATATCTCAAAATAAAAAAGGTTGAAGAAGCAGTAAAAGAAGGGGAAAAAACTTAAAAACCATTCAGTGAACTTTGCTCTCCAAGAAGATAAAATGGCAAGATAAACTATGGGACGCAGAAATGTTAACATTCCACTTTTTCCCAGTGAATAACCAAACAAACAGTAAAAAAAATTACTCTGCAGATCAAAAGGACCAAACAAGTTTATTGTACCAGATCAGAAATAAAAGAACCGGGTTTTACTAGGACCCATGGTAAAAAAAGTGTTAGCTTAGTTCCACTACATGAAGGAAAAAAACTTAATAATTGCATCTTTTAAAAGTAAAGAAAGAGGTTTAACAAAAACGAGTGTCTTACCAAAAAACGCAAACCTCCTGTAAAGTCAAAAAAACTTAAGCGGGGAATAAGACACAATACACAATGCTTCACCGGGATGGGAAAAAGTTGGGAAAACAAAATGTAGGTCAACTTTCCAATCACGAACGAGAATGTCTTCCGATTTTCGGGGATCTAAATCTTCGAGAAAAACAAAATTTCCCAAACCTAAAAGCCTACTAATGAGGTATGTTTTTGCCCCATTTTTGTTCAAATCTCTAGTACAATTCTTGAAATTTAATAAATCAACTACCTCATTTTGTATTTTACTGGAAAGCATAAGTCACCTTTCAATTTTTTCTTATATACTTTTTTTTGCTAAATATAGCGAATAAATACTTTCTCTGGCCATATTACTCCTTTTTTTTTAAATACTATCAATTGTTTTTACTAAAATTAATAATTACCATTTTACATAAATACAATTTCCCTTTTAAAACTTTTTTTTGACATCTTTTAAAAACCCAAATACTTGTCTAATTCCCTTTAAAAACCAGTTTTAATACCACTTTTACTATCTTAATACTTTAAATTCCTTGTACTGCCAATAACCCAATATAACTACCAGTGAAATTTAAAAAGAAAAAAACATTACTTTTTCACTTATTTTGTAATCTTTATTACTTACTAAAATTTTATTTAAACACCATATTTATACCATCAATTTTACTTTTGTACATTTTCTTTTTTTATATTTCCCCATAACATTTTGTTGCCAAATTTTCCAATTTGTATTTTCAATCCAACCCTTTATATTATCCTTTGTATGTGTCCCTGTGTATCTGTGTACCTGTCTACCATCTTACTATCATTTAAACCAAGACATTCCATGTTTTTTTTTTACTTATTATTCTTTTGGTACTTTAATTTGTGAATTTTATTTTGTAAATTTAAAATCTAGTTATACCTTGATCTTGTCAACAACCTATACCAGCCCCTAGTGAAATTTTTATATCTTAGTGACTAATTGTGTGTGAAATTAGTGTATTTTCAATTATATTTTGTTCAACCCCCTTTTTAAAACTTTTTTTGCTAATTTACCAACTACCTCTATATTTTTTTTTCACTTTTTTTTATTATTTTGCTCCCTTAATTTGCTATTTTATTTTGTCAATTTAAAATTCTATTTAACTTAATTCTTGTAAACAACTTTTATAAGACCTTAGGAAATTTACAATTGAGAGTCTTGTGTTTTTTTTATATCTTTAGATTAAACTCAATTGTACATACCCCTTTTCTAGCTAAATACTATAAATACCAAATTCATTATTTAGACCATAGTGTAATTACTATGGGGTCTGGTGCTATTTTTTAATTTGTTTTTTTAAATATTTTTTAATTAAACCTTGTTGTATATAGCTCATTTGGGTCAATACATAACTATCCCAAAGTCATTTTACATTAGCCCTTAGTGAAATTTACAAGTGAGAGCTTTGTTTTTTTAAAATTTGTTTTTTTTATTTTATTAGTTTATACCTAGTTGTACTTTACTATTCCGCACAACCATAACAAAACCAACTCCATTTATGTGTTTTGTGCTATCCTACATAAACCAAAAAGCATAGCTATATACTTGCCCAAACCCCCACCACTACAGTATCATACAAAACTCAACCCACACTCAGGATATAAAAACCCATAATTTAAACCTAGAAGATGTTTTACATTTTGCCCTGACTAAACCTCCATTCTGACACACAATAAAACCTTGGGAAAAGTAATCCCTTTTACTACACAGCATCAAAAGCCAGCATTTTCCAAACAATGCAAAAGTCTACGTACTTAACACACATCAGTCCTTAAGCAAACACTATAAAGCCCTCCGGGCACCCTTTTGATACAAAGACACCGTTCTCCTGCATTATTTTTACTGAGACCGGCTTAAGCAGGCCCATAATGTTTTAAAACCCTCTACCGGTAACAGCAACCAAACTGAAACCCATACCAATTTGGGGGGTGGTATTGCAATCTATTATCAACCAATTATCTTGTATTGCACCACTTGCTTTAGTGATGAAATGGAGAAAAATTTTTTGCAAATTTTACTGAAAAAAACCCTTTAAGCCCCTATAACAATCGTGCCATTTACCGGATACCCCCCCCAAACACCCAAATTTCAGTAAAGAAACAAAGGCACTAAAAACAAACAGACAAATGAAAAAGCACCACCTTCTTTTAGCTGGAGACTTCAACATAACTTTGGGTTTCTAGATATCGCCTGTAAATGATTCAAACAACAATAGAACAACACACTTCTCATACCAACAATAACAAACCAACCAGCTCACTGAAACGACGCACCTAAAGACCACATATACCAATTAAAATAGCCCCCCTTTAAAACAGGGATAATCACAGATACACTAAGACCCACCCTCCTTCCTCTTGATAAACATTTAAACCACCACTTGAAAACAACAAAGTTTTATTTTGATCCATGATGGGCCTCAAAAAGGGAATTACAGCGACTAGAGACTGTTGACTGCCTCAGAAATTTCCAAGCCAAAGGTTTGACGACTGGACAGACATTTTTTTTAAAAAATTACTTAGACTATACAACAAACTTGTCCTATAAAAA